AAACATATCAGAACAAGGAAGCATCTTGAGAACATGAAATAATGTTTATATAAAAAAAAAATCTTAACCCAACATTATTTGTGAAATACTACTTTGTTTGGCGGGGCGGGGGGGGGGTGTACTGAACACTCATGTTCTCATCTCTTGCTACATGAGCCCATGATTGGTCGAAACCCTTAGCACTGGCCACAGGGACACTGATCCAAGCAGCTTTGACACTCTCTCTTCTTGACGCTGCACTGCATACCTACGCAAGCCAACACTTGCAAAATAGCCAGGACTCACTGGGCTGCTTGCCACTATAAATTCCCACAAACAGATTGACACCGCTTGGCGCAAAGGAAAAGGCCCCAAATGATCCAAACGGGAATCACGATTTGTGCCGAGCCTTTCGAATAAATCTCTCTTCTCTTCCACAGAGAGTTTGTTGAGCTGCGATCCTCATGTTTCCAGGCGCTGTCAAGCAGCTGCCAGTGCAAATGACATATTCACAGGATACAAGAAAAAACACAAAAATGCACCATTCAGCTCCATTCTTAAAATCACTATCGTACAGTTGCAAATGAAATTGTCCAAACCACTCTAAAGATCAGAGGGGAAAACAAACAGGACTGGTGTTCCTGCGCTCCGCCAGTTGGAGAAACAAGTGGAAGAAAACAGGCAGTTCTGGGAGTTGAAAGCATGCTGAAGAATGCTCCAAGCAAGGATCCCTCTCTTTACACAAGTCAGCCTGGAAACGGCACTTCTGGCATTGTCTAATTACTCCAAGCAATGGAAACGTGAAAGCATGCCAGCCCCCTCCAAAAAAACACCTCGAACAGAAACCAATCAAAACTGGTGGACCGGGGGGTGGCGAAAGCGCTGGGGCCATTTTGCCAGCAAAGCCCAGGCCGGGAATCGCAACAGCGAAGCTGCGGCGAAGCAGAAGCAAAGAAGCAGCGAAGCAGCAGCAGCAGCAGCAGCACCAACCAGCAGCAGCAGCAGCAGCACCAACCGGCAGCAGCAGCAAATGCACGATTGACCAAGACCGACAGGTAGCTCCAAAATCACAGCTGATCTCAAAAAATATGTTTTTCTGTACTCTTCGATGTTCCTCGTTGGGCTAGTTCGCTGCTGACTGAGGAGGATGGCACCGCGGGGGGGGGAGAGGGGGGTATATCCCTGATATATCAGGGGTTATGACTCAGGTCCTGGCTTCTCACCCCTCCTTGCTAAAGCAAGACAGACTCAAGCTAGCTACAGCTAGCTTTCATGACAAGCCAAACAAAGTATGTGAAGAGCAGTCAAAAAGTAACGTTCATACTACTTATACGTATATAAGAAAAAATTGCATATCCAGTGAAATGGGAGGGGCCACTGAAGGAAAAACGGCACTATGCCATCGTGCCTTTGGTGCCACCTGTGCTACGATGGCAACTCCCTTGGTGAACGTGTTCCACCATGGCTTGGAAGCCAAGGGGCGGCTGGGAGGAAGCACAGGAATTGATCGACCGCTTTCGGCATCGCCTTGCGGTTCAGCATCGCCGTCGCACCTTCCAAAGCATTGGTTGTAGTGCGAGACAGCTGACCGATTCCAGTGGTAAAACACTTGACAGCATGCGAACCGTGCCTGGCTCCTACCATGCCACAATGGAAGTTTAGTCCCAAGCCCATGAAGTCAATGTGGGTAACATGAGTGGCCTCAAAGACGCCGTCGTCTGTGGTACAGTCGCAATGTGAAATTTCAGTACTACTGTGCTGAGTTGAGGCGTTGGCTCCGCATTCGTCGCACACGGCAACAAAAACATCCTGCAGGGTTTGCCGGGTCGGCTTCCCGCAAGTTAATTAACACGCATCTCATACCCGAAAGCATCGTCTCGTACTTTGAAAGAATGCTTGCATATATATATATATATATCATATCCATGCCGCAATGCCTTTAAAACATGGTCGAAAGAATCCTCGTCGGTCTCTTCATCGATGTCTTGCTCCAGCTGATCACCCTTTGCAACTGTTCCATCTTGCACTTCATTCTCTGAATCCTGATCAATGATTTGGAATGAGACAAACCATGATCTCAGCAAATCCTGTGTAACTGAGCATAGATGTGTGCACAACACTGCACATCTCTGACACGGCAAATCGTTGGATGCTACAAGCGGTATAACGCTCCCGCCTCTTCCACGAAACAACTTCGTCCCAAGTCCTGGCAGCAAAAGCTGTCGCCAATATCACCTGGGCGAGTTGGTAAGGCCGTAAGGCCATTCTCTAGATCAAACAGTGGCATTCCCGGTTAGTTGAGAAAGCGGAAGGGCCCGCGATTCAGCCTGCTTTTCGACTTTGGCGTATCACATTCCCAGCAAGGAGCTCAACATAATAACATATATAACCAACTTGCCCTTGCATTGCTCAATCAATTGAACACATTCAAACATGTTGTAACACTACGTCAATGTGCAAAGGCATGAACACTGGAAGCATCGCTGGCTGCCAAGTATCTCATGTCGATATTCCTCAGCATCTGGCTCAAAGTGCGCAATTCTGACTGTGCTGAAACAAAGGGAATCCATATGCAGCAAAATATGCGCTCCGGTGTGACGACTTAGAAGGCATTCACATTATACTAGTCTTCATCCATTGCATCCCAAAGTTCAAAAGGTCCAAGTGGCAATTTCTCCGTCGAGCAACCCTGAACTCAGTGAAAGCCGAAGGTTCTGCCATCTTGGCATAGCGCGTCATGGAACAAGGAGACCCTCTCAAAAACCTCTGCAAAAAGAAGGGTACTAAAGTGACTGAAAGACCCTAAAAGTACCACAGAGCCCATAGGTTCGGGGCCTCCCCATTCTCACACATGACACGCTCACATCAGCCTTCATAACCTTCATTCGATGTCATTCGTCTCGACATCAGCTTTTGGAGACCTGAAAGTCTGCCACAACTCGATACTGGCGCTCCGCAATCGTGCGACGGTTGGCGGCTGCAACGCGTAAGACTTTGCAAGAAAGACCCAGGGTCATGCACTCGGTGTTGAGGATGTTGCACGTGCGCTTGCACGCAGGAAGCTCCCAGTCTGCTGCAAAGTCATACCAATGGCAAACCCCTCCATCTGCCAGCAATGGTACCAGTGCTTGGAGAAATTCTACTCCTCCATCCCCTTGTTCTAGATCTCCATCCCCTGGATTCTTGGGTCGTGGTGCGAGAATGCGCTGGAAGTGGCCACGTGGAAAGTGGCTCGCCACTTGCCGAATGTCGCCCTCCAAGACCTCCAGACAAGCTCGGCCCTCCGGGCCTTCCTCACCTCGGATCATCTGAAGGCTTCGTTGTAGGCATTTCACAGCTGCCCCATTAAGCTCCACAACTGCTATCTGGGAAGCCTCCGTGTGTGCCAAAAGCTGCAGAACTTCAGGACCGCAGCCGGCAAAGGCTACCAGGATCTTCTCTCCTGGCTGTACTGCTTGACAAAGCCTCTGACGCTCTCCAGCCAAACGCGGGGAGAAGAAGCATGCGTCCAAATCAATGATCATCCGGACACCGAACTCAATATGAGTTGTCCTGACAAAGCGGAAGCAACTCGGAAAATCATGACGTGTGCTTGGTGCAATGATGCAACCAGCCCCATGGTGTAAACACACAACATGAGGGATATCATTTATTCATGTAGTTCAATGGGATGTGCTCAGTGCTTAGGCCTAAGAAATTCAAGCTCGAACTCACAGCTTTTCAAGAGGCACCATCTAAGATCAAAACCACTGCTGGGGAGCCATCAGACTTATCAGCTCCAAGCTTCATCAATGGCGACCTCGCCCGGCCGGCAATGATCTGCAATTGCTCGCCCGGAGCTCGGAGTTCTGATGCCAAAAGCGATGCCTTGATGCAGACCACTTTGACCCGACGGTCCTGCACGGGGCTTCGGTCATATACAATGCACTTGCTGAGTGACAAGGATCATTGCACGCATTTGTACGCATGTTCTTTCGTTCTTTTTGTCAAAGACAATCCTGCTTCAGAATGGCATTGCCGAGTAACGCCAAATCCTCTTTGGGCTTTACGTTGACAATGGCCACATCGCCCACAACATCAAAATGTCGTAGTTCCCTTTCAGCTTCGCCAGTGGGTTCTAGCTCGGCTGAAGGGACTGGCTCCTCCATCTCTCTTACAGCTGCTGTGAAGCGATCAATCTTTCCCCAATTCCGCTGGTGCCGACTGTTCACCAAGCTCTGCAACCAGACATGCTCACCCTGAAACAAGGGCCAGCCATCTGGATTGGTCAAAGGCATATCGAGGCCTTCGTCACCCCAAATAGCAACAATCAGTTTGGAACTATCAAATCCTTGGAGCCCGACATTCTTGAAAACACGTCGGGCTGCGGCCATCAGTGCTGCAGCCGCAACAAGGTCACGGCAACACACATGCAAGATGAATGGCTCGAAGCGGAGCCAATACACCGCATCACCTCAGGCTGAGGCTGACTTGAAATGGCGATTGGCGCAAGTCAATGAAGTAAGAAGTAAGTTCTTACAAGTGATTATTCTTTGAGCTAACCTCGGTTGCTTGGCTCATCCGTGTTCCTCCCCACAATTTCTTGGCCGATCTTACCCGTTCCTGCTGCTTGATGGTCAATGTCCACACTATGATAGGGCAACTGTAGGTGTGACGGACACACTGGGGAGTGGGGATTCCGGGATGCCTGTGTTACGCAATAATAAGATCTACAGATATCTACAGTATATATATATATAAGATTATATATAAGTTCTAAGCCACTTTGCGCTCGTCCATGTGTGCCAATGTATGCAGGACACGTCACTTTCAAGCAATCGCTTATCGGCCACCTCTGCTCTCTCCTGCCGTTGGTGCTTGCGGCCCCGCCAGCCTGGTCTGCTTGACTGACACCACGTACACAGGCTGGCCAGTCGCAGAAGTGCTTGCGTCCAGAACGACGGTGCCTGCTCGGAAACATCGTTGCCTTCAACAGTCTCGTCGAGGGTGGCAAGGTCGAAATATGCTCGCGCATCTTCAACCAGGTCATGTGTCACGCGCCACCTGCTGAAACACTCCGTGCTTTTCACCCCATCACCCCGCCAAATGAACGCTCTTCCGGCACAAGATGATGTCGTGAAGAAAGCGGGCCGACCATTGAGTTCGGCACATATCTCACGAGCCTTTTCGTCAATTTCGCCAGCGCTGGACTTGTCGCACTTTGACAAGAAGGTGCGCTTTCTATGTTCAAAGCCCTGGATAGCTGCCATCGTTCGCTAGCATGGCACCTGTTTGTCTGAAGATGAAAATGAGCAACACAATAACCTGGATTCTCACAGCCCTGTCAAGGGGGCCTCGAGAGTGTGGATGAAAAGGTCATTCTCCCAAGGAAGCACTGTGAGTACCTTATGTCTTACGTAGTATCTTAATGTATCTTATATAATGTACCTACTAATGTACACCCGTTGCAATTGCTGCTCAGCCACAAGTTCCCATGGCCTGGTTATGGCGGTTACACCGGTTACGACTATATACATGTGATGTGATCCTTCTCCTTCCACTTGTGCTGAATGGCATCGGGATGCATCGGGCAGTGCGTGACAAGCTCTTGGCCGACAATCTTCTCAAAACTGGCCAAGCCGAGCCCGATCTGCAGCCGGGCGGCAAGGAGTAGGCCAGTCCACAAAGAATGCAACGTGCAGTGTGCCGAGCCCCTTCGAGTGCGAGGGTCTCCAGTGCCTCCAAGAGTCCAAGAACAAGCAACATGCCAAAACGCATTGCCCTCGACCTCATCTGCCCCAGCTTGCGCCACTAGCTGCTCAGCAAGGACGATCTCATCATCACTGCCTCTGAGGATGAAAGCAATGAACTGGATTATATATATATACATACATACATATAATCCGGTCATGCAGGTAATTATGCTTTCAGCATCGGAGGCAAATTGGCAAAGTGGCACACCACTTTGAACAACACTTGCTGGCTTTCGAGGTCGAACAGTTTTCCTTGCCAGCTGCTACGAACTTCAACAGCTTTTAGTCATCAACTGCTTGTCTGAGATCCCTGCTTTCAACTGCGTCCTGCGCACCCAAAGATGGGCTGACAAGCAGCATGGAGGATGTTCTAAAAAAACGCATGCTTCCATGAAAACAAAGACGCGTGAATTGCTGCTGCTAGAAATCATTGAGTACTGAAATGTCGTAAAGCTTTGTGAGCACATACTGAGGCAAAGTGACTCAGCGGCAGGCTCCCATGCAACCCGCCTTAGGTTCCTCAGGAATGCACTGCTCTGGGTGGGCTCGGCCTTCCAAGGACAGAAAGTCGATTCAATATCTTTGGACTTCTGCCCTGTGTTCTTTTGACCTTGCGAGGCGCCCTTGTCTTTTCGTTTTGCGTCAAGGCGCCATGATGTTGCTGTCCCTCATCCACTCCACCTCTGGCAAGCCTGGCCTCGCCATGCACGTCGTTGATGCGCAGGGGCTTCTTCAGCGTCATCATCCTTGCAACGCATCTCGTCGAGCACATGGGTTCTGCATGGTTCTGCAAAAGGCATGGGAGAAATTGGGAGGCTCAGCTGATGTAAGAAATGCCAGTGGCTGCCAGTGGTGCAAATCTACGATGGTCAAAGCATGTGTAGAGCAGAACATTTGGATCCACATTGGTTGAATTGGAATTTGCAGCTCAGATGCCATACGCACTTGGCCCACTTTATTCTTGGCATTCTTTTCATTCTGCGCCGCATTGAACTGGCTCCTTCGGGGAGGAATGCCGAGTCCGTTCAAAAGTCCCACCTCACATTTCAAACAAATAGGTCTCTGAGGCTCCTTATCTTCTTATCATGTTCCGCTGCTCTCTTATCTCTCTTTGGTTGAGGATCTTCAGCTGCGTGGTCAGCTTGATTCAGCAGTGGCTCTGCGTCAACGGGGCCAGTGTGAATGACTTCCTCAACCTCTGAATCTGGTGCCACCTTTTCCGGGTTTTCTGGCATCACATCCAGTGACTCTGCGGCCTCTTCTGCCTGGCTTGGCTTCCCCCATGTGTCATGTGGCTAGGCTCTACGTTCGACGTGTGGAGCACGCCAAACAAATGTCCCACTGCAGCTTCCATGCCTGCTTCGGCTCATCTGCTCCTTCTGAGGCATCTGCCCAAGAGCCCACACGTAAGCGTGGCACCCAATTCCAGGGTTTGGCCTGCGAACTGGGGATGAACTGCACAAATTTGTGCAAATTTGATATATCATGGCATCATGGCACAAGTAACAAAATGCAACACACACACACACACACACACACTTGAGATATTGTGTACTGAACTGAATGCGGTGCCACACGCC